CTGGGATTTTCCAAATGGCTGTGTCTAGATGTTTCTAACCGGAGGGTTCCTAGGGCAAAAGTAATGGCTTATCCACAACAGGTTTTGCTTTGTATTACTACATCCACCTAAAATGAATGTTACCATGCACACTGTGCTCATTGTTATCAGGGAGGCAAGTGGAAAAGTCAAGAGACCACAGCATATCAAATCCATTTATCATCTGATATTTGTATTGAAATTTATGGGGAAATGGTGTGCCCCTGGCTGCAGACACAACTTAACAGCATCTGATTTTGCAGTAGGGTACAATTTCTACATGCTCACTCCAGAGGAATTGTGTTATATTTGCTACAATTGGGTGCAGGGGATTTGTTACAGCATGCAATAAAACCCATCATTCCATGTTCTTAAAGGATTTGCCCTAATGCCTGCTAATCAATATTACATTAGGCTGGAAGCAATTTGGAAATAAGATTGAAAGGAACATACTACAGTGGTACCTCAGGTTACAGATGCTTCAGGTAACAGATGCTTCAGGTTACAGACTCTGCTAACCCAGAAATAGTACCTCGGGTTAAGAACTTTGCTTCAGGATGAGAACAGAAATCATGCTACGGCGGCGTGGCGGCAGCAGGAGGCCCCATTAGCTAAAGTGGTGTCTCAGGTTAAGAACAGTTTCAGGTTAAGAAAGGACCTCCAGAACGAATTAAGTTCTTAACCCGAGGTACCACTGTATCATCATACAGAATTATACATGTGTCAATAATGTAAACCACCCTGAGACCTGCGGGTATAGGGCAGTTTAAAAATGCAACAACAACAACAGTTTCAAAATCAGGGTGCAAGGATCAGAAGAGATGTATAAAACTTCCACATTCAAACTTTTAAAGACCAGTCTCATAATATTGGGTGTCTAAATCACAGAATCCAAATGTATGTTTGATTATGATGATGTTATATGCCCCTTTATCTGGGGCTTAGCCAAAAAAAGTCTGGCATATGTACAAAGGACATCCAAATATACTCAGTTTAATTATATAAATGGAATACGCTCTTGAGAATTGAGGATTAACTTCCATGTCAATGGCCTTGACAAAACATCGCCACCACTGAATTAGACAACTAACAGGGTGTGGTGGATATTCTTCTTCTTCTTTGGCAATCACTCGTAGCAGAGTAAGATTGTCTTCCATGAACACGGTTTTAACAATGAGTCTGCAAGTGACTGTGGAGGCCAATTCTGGATCCACACGTCCTTCCACAGTGGGGACATTGGTTTCCAGGTGGGAGTTGATCACGGTGTGGATTTGCCAAGTGAGCCTTCCTCTTACCACGTTTCTCCCTTGCATCTTGAGTTTGAGTGTCTTCAAAGCCCATGACACCTTTGGTAAAGGCTGTTCTCCAACTGGAGCGCTCACAGGCCAGTGTTTCCCAGTTGTTGGTGTTTATACTACATTTTTAAAGATTTGCCTTGAGACAGTCTTTAAACCTCTTTTATTGACCACCAGCATTACGCTTTCCATTTTTAAGTTTGGAAGAGAGTAGTTGCTTTGGAAGACAATCATCAGGCATCCGCACAACATGACCAGTCCAGCGAAGTTGATGTTGAAGAATCATTGCTTCAACACTGGTGATCTTTGCTTCATCCAGTACACTGTCTTCCCAAAGTGATGTGTAAGATTTTTCGGAGACACTGTTGATGGAATCTTTCGAGAAGTTGGAGATGGCGTCTGTAACTGGTCCATGTTTCACAAGCATATAGTAAGGTTGGTAGTACATGTGGTGGATATAGGTGATATCTCACTAAGTCATACTGAGAATATATGCACTGAAATAAGTGGATTTAAGTAAATTGATATCAGTGGGTCTACTATGAATATGACCAACACTGAATATCACTCCTGGTTTTATTTCATTTATTGCATTTATATCCCACCTTTTCCTTCAAGGAGCCCAAGGTGGTATACATGATCCCCACCCCCACCTACATTTAATCTGCACAACAAACCTGTGAGGTAGTTAGGCAGAGAGGCTGGCCCAAGGCCCAAATTTAGCTTCATGGCCTAGTGGAAATTTGAACCCTGGTCTCCCAGGTCCTAGTCTGACTCTCTAACCACTACATGCATGGCTTAGTCATGAAGCTTATTAGTTAACCCTGAGACAATTACTATTTCTCAGTCTAACCTACCTCACGGGATTGTTTGAGGACAAAAGGGGGAGGGAAATTATACTGAGGAAGGGCAGAATACAAACATAATAAAAAAGAATTAAGTGGTAGACAAGCTCTCTTCAGACTCAGTGCAAAGGGAGAGAGTTTTGTTTTCCCATTGGTGTTTAATTCATCACCAGACAAGTAGGGGCATAGGTGGGAAAGCCCGGCTGCAAAGCAGTAAACAAACTAATGTAAAGTATAGCCTCATACTGAAAGCTGCAGAGCACTTAAGATGAAATATCTGTGTCAACTGTATGAACCAGATGAAGGGGGAAAAATGAAATTAACTTCATCAGAAAGACCGACTGAGCTCATTAAAGCAGTATATAAACTTGCTTGCTCACAGCTCTCCTGGGACGCCAACCTTTATTACACCTTCAAGTCATTGGAGACTACAGAGGAACTCGATTTCCTTTTGAGCACCTGCAGGAAACACACATGCACACAGACGCACACACAGCTTGGCCAGTTGAGACTTCTAATATTGCCAGCCACTGCAGGAGGGAGGGGATGTGGTACAAACACACACACACACACACACACACACACACACACTACTATCCTTTGGGATTTGGGCTTGGAAGATTTATAGGCTGAGAGGTCTGTGCTCTGGAACAGGAGGGACCTGAGCTCAGATGTGAAACTGAAACAGAAGCTGCCAGAACAAAATTTATTCAAAGCTTTGTCTACAGTTTATTTTAACTTTAACCTGCCATCACACATTCACACAGGACTGACCAAACAAACACAAACAGACAAACACACACACACACACACACACACACACACACTTTAATGCTGAAGATCTGAAAGAGTTCTGGAACAGGGCAATACATGCCTGGGTTAATTCAGGTGGGCACTTGTCAAAAACAGTCCAGGTAGATTGTTTATCTCCTCACTTGAAAGAGTCATTTTGGAATGTGCTACAGGGCAAACATTATTGACAGTGCAAGGTTGTGGATTGCCTGAGGATACAGAGGTAAAAAACGATGGTTTGCCAAAATCCTTTCCCTTATAATTACTTACGACTGATGAACAACAACAAAATAAGGGCCCTGGAAAACAGCCACCAGTAGCACATCAGCTGAGGAGAAGCCATAAATTAGGCTGTAGAACATCAACTTTGCATGTTATTGAAGCAGGCTCAGTTCCTGACATCTCCAAAAAGATAGCCATTAGTTTCCAGTGCATGGTCTGACAGTATATGATAAAGTAAAATTTCGGAAATTAAGCAGTTTGGGTCTGGCTCAGTGTGTGTATGAGCAATCACTTTGGAACCCTAGGTATGTTGCTGTGAACTCTATGATGGAAGAACGGTGGGATATAAAGGTAAGTCACAAAATATAATTAAACAGCAGGCCTTGGAATGGCATTGCCTTACACCCTGGACAGTCTCTGCCAATCTAGCCACTGCTCTACATTTGCTGGCCATTGATGCAGTACGGAAAATCCTTTAAACCAAAAACCATGCCATCAGATCCCATGTGGTACATGACATAAATGTATCTGCACATTATTTAATTAAATGTGTATATGTCTTAATTAAGGTAACAAGGATAGCTTATGTGTGTGCATGAAACTGGTTAATGTAGCAAAAGCTCTCAGAATCTCGCCCTTCTGTAAAATCCTGGGTAGATGTTTTTCTCTATTAAGATGTGTATATTTGCATTCCCTTTAGGAGAAATCCTTATCTGAGCCATGTGAAAATAGCCAACATGTTCCTCATAAATAGTATTCTTTTTGATAGTGAGTCAGATTGGACCAGTTTCTTCCACTAGTCATAGCTCTTCAGGTCCAGCCTGAGAATGGAGGTTTGCGGTCTGTACTAGTAACAGGATGCTGGAAGTGCCTTTTAGAAGCTACCTCTGCAACTACCTGCTGCCTTTTATATTTTCTGCCTTCAGAATCTTACAGAAATCCAAATTTTACAAGTTGCCAGCTGATCTAACACCTGGAGTCTCTTATCATGGAACCTGATATCTGGTGAAAGAATTACCGTAATATCTCACATTCTGCTTCTTTCTATGCTCCCAAAATACAGTATCCTGCAGAGCAAGAATGCCACAAAAACAAAGGATGTTTTAAACAGATCGACACTATGTACCTCTGGATGAGCAGACTTGCCATGAAACAACAAATGCAAACCGAGACAGTAACATAACATACATTAAGGTGTTTCTCAGTCTGCAAAGCACTGTGTGCATTCTCATGCCATGCCAGTTATGAAGAATGTGCCTAGTTAAGGACACTTGCATTTTCCATTATAGGCAAGCATGTTCCTTGCACATTTTGAAGCTAGGCTGTTTTCCCTTAGGTCTCCTCACATCCTTTTGGTGTCAGGTTTTTAGTCTGGAAATACCAAGAAATGTTCCACTTATGTCCCTAAAGTACTGCACACAATATTTTTGGAAAGTTTAGCAGAATAATAATGAGATTATGTGTTGCTACTGGAGATCCTCACCTGCGGAATGAATTCATTTTATGTCAATTTTGCTGCACTTTGGAAAGTGGAGTTCTACAAACCAAGTTTATCTTTAAAAAAGTAGGAAAACATTACTTGCCCTTTTAAGTAAGGCCATATGTTTACTTAAATATTAAGAGTATGGAGGTCATTGTTAATACCTGCTCCTAGACCAGGCCTCTTTTGGTTTGGGTGGAGATTAGCACCTTGTAATGCTGAGATTATAGGGCAGCTCTGAGGCTTTATTGCAAATCCAAGGAAATGACCTTTCCACATATACCCAGTATGACCTTCCATTCCAAATAGTCAAAGTTACTGGTTCTTAATTCATTGATATTTCCTGGAATGGCAGACTACACCAATACCGCCAAAAGGTAAGAAAAGAAAAAGACCCATTGAGTACTTGAAACAGACTGTGTGTAGAGTTACAAAAATCTGCCCAAGTATTTTTAGCTAGTTCACTAGAAATAGTAAGGCTTTCTTACCTATCACTTTCTCACACAAAGATATTTCGTCTGTTGTTCTGTGATTCCCTCCTCCCTTCCCCAGCCTTGATTGCATATTTATTTATTTAATAAACTTTCTATACTGCATGGTTGTAAAAAATAATAATGCAAAACTGTTTACAAAATAGTCTAATAGCAGTTTACATATAGCATAAAGCTGTGTATCCTGTATCCTGCCTCTGAATCAAGATGGTAGAGGGAAGAGAAAGTTTTTAATCTGCTACTACATAAACAACCCTGCCTTCTAGCTCTATTGCTCATCTTGACAACTACAATTATTGCAGAACCATAGATCAACTGTATTATCACTATTATTATTATTAAAATTTAAACACTGCCCTTCATCCGAAAGTCTCAGGGTGGTTCACAAGCTAAAAATACAGGACAAAAGCACAAAATAAATAGCTAAAACTAAAACAAAACACAAACACATTTAAAAGGCTGTAAAATATTCATCAGCTAAAGGCTTGGTTGAAGAGGAACAACACCTGACACCTAAAGATGTATAATGAAGGCGCCAGATGAACCTCCTTGAAGAGAGCATTCCACAAACAGGAATTTAATGAAAGGTGAGTTGGAGCTAGAGTTTTCCCTCCATGACCAGACCGGCAACTTCCATTTGCAGATTCTGATCCAGGGGAGGTTCGTGCTCTACTAAATGGATGCTCCTGCGTGCAGAAGGAGGAAAAGATCATTTTTTACCATTTCCCTACCCTGCAGTCCCATGCCACCTCTCAACCTGTTATTGAGGATCCACCAACCTCCTGGTGCAAATTTCAGTGGGGGACACTGTGACACAAGAGGCTGCGGGAGGAAGGAGGCAACGCTGAAAATCTCCTCCTCTCTCTTCTGCCTTTTAGCAGTTAGCAAAAGTCCTCCAGTGGTTAGTCTGAGTCCAACCCATTTTTTGAAACCATCTTACTCAGATTGGTATATTAAATCAGTGGTCTCTATCAGGAAATAAATTGAAGAAATACTGATGAAGGCAGAGAGAGACCCTCAAGAACCTACCAGAACACGTTCCTGGTATCAGGTGAGCAAGATTAATGCTCAGCCAGCCGGCATTTCTTTTCAACTCAAAGGAAAACTGTTCATAAAATAAAGGGCAGGGCCATTGCCTCCTCCATTGTCTCCCTAGTATTCAAGATTTCTATTAACTCTGAGAGATCTAGGGTTAATACCCCCGCAGTTGACAGGCGCTAAGCTGGGGCCTTGCACAGGCTTTAGATGTAAAAACAATCAGCCATCCACCGATGCCATTACTCCCCCAGACTATAGAGTGTGGAGAAATTCCTGCCATTCCACAGAGGGTGAGGGGACTGGGATGGGGTGACCTCCTTTTGTTCAGCTCCAGCTCTGCTCAACCAAGGAATAGCTTCCAAATGATTTGTGAGTTCCATCTATGAGTTGCATTGTAGAGGGCTGAGGAGAGAGACTTGGGAGTGTCAGCAGATTGCTGAGTTATGTCTTTTTCAAAGGAAAATTATATAGCACATACAGGGGGGGTGTGGGGGAGAAGGAGAAACAAGGAGAAATTGAAGGAGTGGAACCAGATTTTCAACGGTGTGATTAGCATTTCTTTTGATGCCATTATGTTCCCGCACAATTGTAATGGGGCCTGTGCGAAACCCAATTAGATGATTAGAAGGAAAGCTAGACGTATGGATAAACCTTCAGGCTTGCTTTCAACATACTGGTATATAAAGGAAGGTTCCCGATTACAGAATCAAAGAAAGGGCAGCACTGATAAAGGATTAAGGAACATAGACCATCCCACTGCACAGAGGCATTCCTGGTAGATTAACCATATAATAGAAGAATGAAGTCTATGATCAAGTCAAATTATACTATGCAATATGCAGATAGCAGGAAGGACTAAGTGCAGAGGTCTTTAGGTAGGAAGTCAATTTAGTAAGAGAAACTCAAATTACTTAAGCAAAGAAGCCGCATCACATGGTGTCAAGTAAACCACATATTCTTTAGGGGAACAATTTCTTAGCCATAGTTTGAATCTTCTCTAGCCCTCTCTAGATGACTTGTTTAATGAACACTCATCCTCATTTGCTTACACAAAGCAGACAGAAAGGTTAAATTATGTCTGGATTTCATTGAGCATTTGTTTTGATTTTTTTTGCAGGATGGTTTTACAACAATGAACATTCATCCTGCATTAATCCTGATTTGCTCATGAGGTATTAAGATATCATTCTGTTGGTTAATTGTTCATCCCACACTTTTCAATGCATTTTCAATGTACTTTTCTATGATTCTATGAACCATTTCCCCATCATTTCCAAACTTCAAAAAGTCTGGGGAGGTGGTATGGGGGGTGGTATGACTGTATGCTTAGATTTAATTGTATGCTTAAATTTCGCTATACATTTATGAAAACCAATCAAAACTATTTACAAAAAATAAAAATTAAAGCTGATTCTTTTGAAATTTGGATATGTTGTGCTAGGGTGACAGAACCCATTAATCCACTTTAACTGTGCAAACCTAACCTTCCAGTGTGCACTTGAATCCCTCTTGCAAAATAGTGGCAATCTGGAGTCAGCCAAGTGGCTAAACCTCTGTTTTAAACAGGCTGTATTATATTATATACTGAAACAGTTGCTGCCATCTGCTGGAATGTGTAGAAATTATGAAGATTCCCCAAATTTATGCTGCATCGACCAAAATACAAGTCACATTACAACTGCATTTCTTTAAGACAAGAGTAAAATAGAACCATGTGTGAAATGATGGCAGTCCCTGCTCTAACAGCAACACTTCCAACATTTATCTTAATATTTGATGCTTCCATGTTTAGTACTTGCAACTTAATAAAGCTTTACAAGCTCCCATGCATGCTACATAATATAATAGGTAAAGGTAAAGGACCCTGGACGGTTAAGTTCAGTCAAATTTGACTATGGGGTACTGCACTCATGGCTGCTTTCAGGCCGAGGAGGCCGGCATTTGTCCACAGACAGCTTTCCAAGTCATGTGGACAATATAATATATCAGTTGATATTAAGCTATCAGCTTATGCAAAGAGCTATGTGGCAGGACCAGCCCTGACCTGGATATTGTTATTCCAGATCACTATGGAAGGCACTCTATGGAGTGGTTGCTCTTTGCCCCACCATTGAGGCTGAGACAGTCAGAACTAGAACTGGCAAAGCAGGAAGCAATGCACCAAGCATAGCTGTCAACCGTCCCTTATTTGGCGGGAAACTCCCTTATCCCAGCGCTGTGTCCCACTGCTGTCCCTTATTGATGACGTCACTTAAATTTCCCGGTTTCATGCTCACCTGGCTCAGGAAGGAAGCAGCGGCTCGGGATCCTCCGCCGCGCGAGAGAGCGCGTGCACGAGCTGCCGCGTCTCTGTCTCTCCCTTTTCCCCCTCAGGGGTGCGTTGTGAGGAGACGGGTGGCAGCGGGTGGGCAGGCAGCCTCTCTCTTGTGAGACTTCCACCGCGCTGCCAGGGGAAGCCAGAGGTGGCGGCAGCGGCAGCTGAGGAGGTGGCCTGCAGGAGGAGGAAGAGGAGGGGATGGCGAGGGACACAGAAGGGCAGCGCTTCAACGGCCGCGGTGCCGCAGCAACTGCCTCATGCCGGGCTCGCGGGCGGCGTGGGTGAGAGTCTCTCTCCCTCCCTCCCTCTCTCTCGGGCAGGGAAGGGCCGATGGAACTCCTCTCGCCAGGACGACGGCAGCCCCAACGTGCTGCTTAGCATACCCTCCAACCAGTGCAGCATCTTAATGTAGTGATTTCCCCATCTGCATCCCTTTCATAACTCTATTTTTATAAATCATTTGTCCATCCATAGTTCAATTTTTTACTATAAGTTTTCTGTCAATCCTACCAATGTATGTAACTCTTTACAATAGCTTTTCAACTAAATTATAAACTTTCCCCATTCTTTATTAAAGAGGTCCTCTTCCTGGTTTCTAATTCTGCCTGTAAGCTTTGCCATCAGTTTTGTCTGCCACTCTTCTTTGGTCGGAGTTGTAGACCCTTAGGATCATCTAGTCCAACCCCCTACAAAACACAGTCAGTCGCAGCAAAAGCAGCATGGCTCCATCAGTGCTGGATTTCTGTATAAGCTAAGCCAAAATCCCTTATTTTGGATGCTGATCCCTTATTTTCGAGGCTGCTGGTCCCTTCTTTTCAAATCTGTAAGTTGACAGCTAGGGCATCAAGCTCCCTTCTCTAAGCTACCATCAGAAACCAGCATCCCCCCCCCTTTTTTTTGCTTTATTTGACATCCAGCATGATTAAGTGTTCTTGTGAACTCAAAAGTTTGCTTGCTATTTTGTGACAACTTGTTATCTTATAACAAGGGGATTTTTCAAAATAGAAGTGGCAGTTTAATCATTAGCCATGCATGCTAATTTAACCCTTCTCTTCCTCTGCTACGTTTATTTGGAAGGTTTCTTTCCCAGAAATGTTTGCTTATTTAGCATGCAGAGGATTGCCAAAAGGCACCCCAGGAGATGACATCATCATCCCTGCTGTAAAGCAAGTGGAGTCGCTTGCTCCTGCTCCACTACACCACTGAGTGCAACAGAATGAATGAAACAACATGGAAGCAGATTGAGCAGTCAAGCCAAAGTCAAGGGTAAAGGTAAAGGGTAAAGGGACCCCTGACCATTAGGTCCAGTCGTGACCGACTCTGGGGTTGTGGCGCTCATCTCACTTTATTGGCCAAGGGAGCCGGTGTACAGCTTCCGGGTCATGTGGCCAGCATGACTAAGCTGCTTCTGGCGAACCAGAGCAGCACACGGAAACACTGTTTACCTTCCCGCCAGAGCGGTACCTATTTATCTACTTGCACTTTGACGTGCTTTCAAACTGCTAGGTTGGCAGGAGCAGGGACCAAGCAACGGGAGCTCACCCCGTTGCGGGGATTCGAACCGCCGACCTTCTGATCAGCAAGTCCTAGGCTCTGTGGTTTAACCCACAGCGCCACCCGTGTCCCTCCTAAAGTCAAGGGTAAAGGTAAAGGTACCCCTGCCCGTACGGGCCAGTCGTGTCCGACTCTAGGGTTGTGCGCTCATCTCACTTAAGAGGCCGGGAGCCAGCGCTGTCCGCAGACACTTCCGGGTCACGTGGCCAGCGTGACGAAGCTGCTCTGGCAAGCCAGCACCAGCACAGCACACGGAAACGCCGTTTACCTTCCCGCTATAAAGCGGTACCTATTTATCTACTTGCACTTAGGGGTGCTTTCGAACTGCCAGGTGGGCAGGAGCTGGGACCAAAAGACGGGAGCTCACCCCGCCGCAGGGATTCGAACCGCCGACCATACGATCGGCAAGTCCTAGGAGCGCCACCCGCGTCCCTAAAGTCAAGGGTATTTAGGCCTAAATCATTGTACTGGGAGCACCTTCTTAATTCTATCCCACAGAAATCAGTTCAGTATTGTATGTGCTGAACTTTAGCTTGATTGTGTCTGTTGGGTTTTTCAGCTAGCAGGAGATGAAGTCACACTTTTCACTTGGTTGAATAAGTGTAAAACAGCACTTTTGTTGCAATAAGGGTATGCTCTCAAGGGCCTCCACAGTGGAATTATCACTTGGAACAGGTGTGCTACATTCGTGACCTTCTAATTTTGGTATTTCAAAAATAATTAGAAAGGGTTTGCAATTAAAACATTGAGAGCCAGTCATAAGTCTCCCCATAGCTGTCAACTTACAGATTTGAAAATGAAGGACCAGCAGCCAAAATAAGGGACCTGCAGCCTCACCTGTTCCAGGCACTCCAGTCTTCCTGTCCTCCTGCAGTCTGGTCAAACTCATGCTGGTAGCTTGGAGAACACTGTCCAACCAACTTTGTAACCAGAGGTTCAACTGAATAGAATCTGAATCACATGCACCACAAGGCCTATGCAGCCTCAACTTAAGATGGCTCCCCGGCCTGGCTTTGCACTGCAAAGTTTGCAGCAGCATGTGCAACAAAATGGCATCCAGCATTCAAAAACCCCCTAAGCTTGCATTAACTAGCCACACACAAGGCATGCAAGCTCCACCCCCCAGTTGTTCTTAGACTTCTTATTGGGTGAGCAACACAGCCAAGCAACACAGTTGGAGCCTCCCTCCTCCCTGGCTGGCAGGGAGGGAGGGAGAGGAGCTGCTTCCTTTGAAATTTAAGGGACATCATTTAAGGGACATTTAAGGGACATCTATCAATAAGGGACAGCAGCGGGACATGGCGCTGGAATAAGGGACTGTCCCTTCAAATAAGGGACACTTGACAGCTATGAGTCTCCCATGCTCCCACCATGCCTGTTACAGCATTTCCACAATTTATCAGAGAGATGATTAGGATTGTTGTTGTTGTTGCTTACATTATTGAATTGAATAACACTGGTAATTTCGACCTGGGCAGGTTCTACATGCAGTTTTTTAATATCTTTAACACACACAGCCGATAAACCTCCAGTGCTTGTAGTCCACCTCAACTCTTTCGCACTACAGTATTTATGTCTCACCTAAAACTAGGTGGCGCTGTTGTCCTCCCCTCTGCTATGCCAATTCTGCAGCCTCTTTCAGGAGTATCCCATTAATGCTGAGAGAGGGGAGATAGATTATAATAAGTGGACATCTATTCCAACAGCAGTGTGAGAAAAAATAGATTAGATAACTTATAATAATAAATTCTGATAGTTATCTAATTTCGGGAGAATATTACCGTTAACGGATGTTAATTTGGGGTAGTGTATGTCTTCTCATTTCTGTGACAATTGGTTCGGTCCTCAGGGATGCGCGTCAACGGCCAGGCATGGAACAGCCCATTTAAGGGGGGGGAAATAAGGGAGAGTAGTCAAGGTCTACTCAAACCTTGGGAGAGAAAAGTTTCAGTTTCATCCTGTAGATGAGAAAAGACACTTTGCTTTACAGGAAGACCTCGGGCTTTTCCTCATTTGCGCCCTCTCTTGGTTTTGTGGGGCGCGACACCTTGCCCCATCCCACCCCGCTGCCGGCAGGTGTTTGGTTCCATCCAGTTTGAATCTGCCGGAGGAGGAGGAAGGGGCTGTAACACCAACGGGCTCCCTAGAAGCGGCAGCGGCGGCTGTTTGGAGGCGGCCAGAGAACACCGGCCGTGCTGCCCTCTCTCCCTTTGCCACCGCCGCCCGGTCACCTGCCCTGCCTCGTCTTTCCCCTTCACCTCCCCGGGGAAGGTGAGGGAGCGCCCAGCCCTTGGCCGCTCGCCCTTCGCCCCTGACGCTCCTGCGAGCTTGCTTGTCCCCCTCACTCGGCACGCAGACGCCGGGCGGAGACGGAGGGAGACGCCCGCCGCCCGCATTGCGGCTTCCCTCCCAATTCCCGCTTATGAAAATTTATATGGGCCAGCGAATTATTATTAATAATAATAATAATAATAATTTTAGTGTTTATGCGCCGCCTTTCTCCCCTGAGAGGGGCTCAAGGCGGCTTACAGATGAAATAGGGACAGCTAAAAATAACCTCTCCTTGTAACTACTGCGAATATAAAATAGTTTTGGGGCACAAGAAGGGCTAGTTAGGGTTAAGGGTTCCCTTTCGTTTATTGAATAGCTGATCTCAACAAATCTCTCAGCAAACAGCAAGAAGAACACTTCACAGGTCATTTGGAAGTTTACTGTATGATTGAATCCCACTCTAAAACAGTGGCAGTTTGGAAGTGCTGGTAGATGCCTTAAAAAAATCAGAATGAGACAAACTGCAAGGGTCGGTCTATTATGGCTACTTCTAGACAATTGCTGTTTTGCAGGTGGGATCCAATTGCATACCACAACAAACCTCCCCACATTGGAATTTTTTGAGATAAGGAAACTATCAGGAAAATGTGTGTGAAAGTGGGATATTTCTTAACAATGTAACATCTCTACATACAAATCCGAATGAATGCTTGGTAAACAAACAAAAGTCATATATGGTATTCCATGAACTTTGTGCAATCAAATCAGAAGGAATTAAACAGGTTGTAGGGAAGCAAAGTATGGCACTCCTTGCATTTCGTGGCCTTTGGTCCCACTGTTTACATCCCCCTCCCATACATGTGTATGTACAGCTTTGTAAAATAGAATAAAAACTACAGTGGTGCCTCGCAAGACGAAATTAATCCGTTCCGCGAGAGTCTTCGTCTAGCGGTTTTTTCGTCTTGCGAAGCAAGCCCATTGACGGATTAGCGCTATTAGCGCTATTAGCGGTTTAGCGGCTATTAAAGGCTTAAAGGCTTAGGGGATTAGCTGCTAAAAGGCTATTAAAGGCTTAGCAGATTAGATAAAGGGGGGGAAAAGCGAAAAAAAAATCTCAAGACTCGCAAGGTATTTTCGTCTTGCGAAGCAAGCCCATAGGGGAATTCGTCCTGCGAAGCAACTCCAAAACGGAAAACCCTTTCGTCTAGCGGTTTTTCCGTCTTGCGAGGCATTCGTCTTGCGGGGCACCACTGTAAAGGGAGTGGCAAGTAGGCAAGTAATGGTGGACTCAACTATACAGCTGCAAATAAAACATTTTAAGTGTGTTGTAAAGTGCATTATACAAATGTGACATTAGATGGTGAAGGTGAGATATGGCAAATGCAATATATTTTTGAAAACATTTTTTAAAAAACATTTTCACAACATTTTTTGCATGTGTCTAGATTCCACTGGTGAACAAAACTCAGTTTTCCAGGCAGACATGCTAAATGCTTTATTTATGAAGCTTATCAGTTGCTTTACAAAAGCATCTCAAAGCAACTTAAATGGTACACATGAAGGAGTGGAGCACAGGGACAGGCTAAAAAGGAGACGGCTACATATTTGTGGTACAAATAATAAAATTAACTGCCAAGATATATTGAGTTAATGGTGACCACTTGTTATAGGAAGGAGTACATTTTCAATAGCCATTTGCCAAACCTGGGTGCATTAAAACTGATATCTCACAGCATTTAGAAGTTGATCTGATAGTTCATCTCAACATTTTGTTACTGCTATGTTTTCTACTAGGAACAAGATGCCTAATCCTAAAACCACCTCAAGTGACAGCAGTGACTCTCAGAACATAGACTGTAATCCTAGAAAAGTAAGGGACCATGAAGACAGCCATGGCGGAGACATGCCTAGCCTCTGCCCACCTGACACCCCACCTTGTATGTCCAGTTACGATTCCTAGAAAAAAATATGTGTCATTTATATTTAGAGCAAAATTGCCAGCTCAAGATAAATTACAGGCAACTCCCCACTTACATGGTGGTTACATTCTGGGGCCCCAAGCACATGAGTGAAATCACATAAAGTGGGGAGCACTCTCTAAACACCCTTTAAATGCTCTCTGCTACTCTTCATCCATACCAAAAATACCGTATCAAAAAATACCCACAACTAGAACTGAAGGTCTGGGACCAGCAGGAGGCTGGAGGACGTGTAGGAAAGTGGCTACTGCTGCTCTAGCCTGCACATCCCTGCTGCGCTTCCAGGCTCTTCAGTGCTTCCTCTGCCCTCAATAACATCCTTTTTGGGCTCTGGGGAGGGTCTCCTTGCGAGCCACAAGGACTTTCCAGCTCTCTCCTGCCATTTCCAGGTATGAATTGAATTATTTAATTATTTCCCAGTGCTGTGCATATACATGTCACACGCAAGTAGAACATGCATAAGTGGAGGGATGCCTGTATACAAAAGGGGATTAACAAAGAGTTTGGGGCAAATGTGAAACAGTGTCTTGTTTATTTTTCACACATTCAAAAAATAATATGCTGAAAAATAATTTGAATTTAAATTGCAAAACAACAAAGCTTAATATGTTATTGTCATTATTTTTCACATTATTATCAAGTGAGATAATATAATTGGGGAATTGCACTTGTCCTATCAGACAGTCTTTGGGACTGCTGCTGCTGCATGCCAGGTTGGCTCTGAATAAGATCTCTCTCATCCATGATCTGATTGTGGATGAGGAGGCTCATCTGGTCTGTATTACTGAGACTTGCGTGGGTGAGCAGGGTAGAGTTGGTCTCACCCAGCTGTGGCCACCTGGGTACCCAGGGCAGCATCAGAACAGACTTGAGAGTTGAAGAGAGGGAGTTGCTTTATATAAATTTTCTATCCAGACTGAGTGGGGGTATTGTTTTTGTTTGTTACCATGTTATGTACTTTTTGTGTTTTTAAATAGTAAAGCACCCTGTGATCTTCAAATTAAGGTTGGAATACAAATTTAATATATTGGGGATTTGACATTTGAACAAGTTGCATTATAATGAGCTGACTCATTGTTTCATCTAGCTCAGTACTTGCTGCTCTGACTGGCTTCAGAGTTCTCTGACGCGGGTGTTTCACAGTCATGCTACATGAATTTCTTTTTCAATGAAGGCACTAGGAATTGAATGTGGAATCTTCTTTATGCTAAGCTTTGCTCCACTACTAAGCCTTGGTGCTGTCCCATACTATTGGTACATCCAGACAAGTATTCGTAAGTGGCAGCAACTGTCAAGCAAATGTATTTATGATATCCAGTTGGGAATGGCACATTCCTTTTTGCAAGTTTCATGATTTTGCAAGTGATGCTGGGGACCCCCCCCCTTTTCTGTTTTTAAGAACATTCATAGTAAATTGGGTGATTTAATTCAGGCCTTTCCAACTTATGAGCTACCAAGTAATATATAGACAACCCTGTTTTTATAATTTGCCTAGGACTGCAAAAACAGTATGTATCAAAAATACATGGTTGATATTGCCTTGGTGGGTTACAAATAGTGCATGTCTTTTTACATTGGTCTACTCTAAAATAAATAGTTGCATTTTCCTTTCCTATATAAATATTCTTTCCCCCTTTGATGGGTAAACGAAGTGCCGTTCTGTTTTATTTTTATGCAGCCAGTCCTCCCCAAATTCTTTCTGTGTCAGAACTCATGGAAACAGCCAATGAAGTCTCGAAAATGACCATAGCACATGAAATTGTAGTAAACCATGACTTCAAATTGCAAGAGGTGAATTTCTTACCAAACAGGTAGGTTTTCTTTTCCTGGTTATTTTCCTGGTTTTATTTTAGTTTCCTGTTAAATCTAGAAGGATATTGTTGGTAAAAGGATGTGGATTTGAAAAATTAAGGAAGATTAATTGTGTAATCTTTTTTAATTAAAAAAAACTTATTTATTGATTTTTCACAAGCTTTTTAAAAAATGGTGTATTGTGTTTGTACATACACATTTTCTTACATGTCTTCCCCAAGGTGATCTCCGTCCAAGATGTCCTATTTAACGCTCAATTGAGAGTGAGTGAGCGGGTGGCGCTGTGGGTTAAACCACTGAGCCTAGGGCTTGCCGATCAGAAGGTCGGCGGTTCAAATCCCCGTGACGGGGTGAGCTCCCGTTGCTCAGTCCCTGCTCCTGCCAACCTAGCAGTTCGAAAGCACGAAGTGCAACTAGATAAATAGGTACCTCTCCGGTGGGAAAGTAAACGGCATTTCTGTGCACTGCTCTGGTTCGCCAGAAGCAGCTTAGTCATGCTGGCCACATGACCCAGAAGCTGTACGCCGGCACCCTCGGCCAGTAAAGCGAGATGAGCGCCACAACCCTAGAGTCATCCGCGACTGAACTTTAACTGTCAGGGGTCCCTGATTCAAAAAACAAATATCCAAGGCTTCACTATGGATCATTCATATCAAATGTAAGTGGAAATATGTTAATAGCAACTGTTTTTGATTCACAGTTTGGAAAGCAGAGTGAAAGAGACATTGCATAAAGCTTTTTGGGACATTCTGAGAGAACAGCTCTCCAAAACGCCACCAGACTATTCCCATGCTATCAAGCTACTTCAAGAAATCAAAGAGGTGAGATGTTTGTGTATGTTTGAGACTTCATTATTTATAGCATACACAGCTTGACCTTTGTGATAAATAAATTGTTACGTTAACAATATATGTGGTCATATGTAAAGAAGAAAAAGTGAGATTTCCAAAACCAGTAAGTAATGTTGCTTAGGGTTGCCATATTTCAAAAAGTAAAAACCAAGACACTATGAAAGGTATTGAGCTTTTTAAAGGAAGACCGCCCCACCCCCGGATGTCAATTCCACCTTTGAAATTCTGGTAATGTCCGGGACATATAGCAGCCCTAATATTGCTTGAGAATTTAAGACTTTAAGATTTATAGACTGTCATTTGCCTATAGTAGGCAAATATTTTTCCCGACATCCCACTTGCTAATATTTGTCACACAGTTATGTGCAATCAGGCTGACAAACATGGGTTGGGTTCCCCCCCGCCCTCCATATTTTTCTGCCGTGTTATTCACACTTGCGCCCATAGCAAAAGTACAGCCAACCATTCATAATTATTGTCTCTGGTTAGCCATGTGCAAAAGCAAGGTAGTCTGGAAAATTGTGAAACCACTCACTATTCCTACCCATGCACACTTCAAGCTGTGATTAGCGATTAAGCTATGTAGTTGCTATAGCTGTGTAACTGTTCCCAATTGTGTATGTTCTCAAACTTCAGGTTTGCAATCAGTTTGAACATTTGCTTGTAGAAAAACATTTTTTCTTGTTGCAAGGGACAGGACAATGGGCTTGGTTTCCAAACTGTATTCTATTTTATTGGACAATTGCAAGGTTTAAAATTCTTTTGATTTTTTACTATGTATGCTTCCACCTTAACTTTCCGTTTGAGATCTATGTTGTAGATACTTTTGCACATTTATTATGCTATTTTTGTGATATACACATGACATGAGAAAACTTGGTATACTTATTTGTATAACATCAATATATATGGACTTGTTCTGTTTTTTACTTTACAGTGGTACCTCTGGTTGTGAACGGGATCCGTTCCGGAGCCCCATTTGCAACATGAGCAGAACACAACCCGCGTGTGCGCGGGTCGCGATTTGCCACTTCTGCGCATGCACGTGATGTCATTTTGCGTGTCTGTGCATGCTCAAGCAGCAAAACCTGGAAGTAACCCTTTCCGGTACTTCCGGGTTGCCGCAGGACGCAACCTGAAAACACGCAACCTGAAGCAAACGTAACAAGAGGTATGGCTGTATTCGGTTATAGTCTTATAGGGTTTTGAACATAGCAAATGAAAATCAATAAGGTTATTAAAAATGGCAACACTTTATTCTTATGTAGACCCTACTGTCCTTGCTCCTGCCCCGACAACATCGTCTGCAAAGTCAGATTGAAGAAACTCTGGACATGGAGCTGATAAAACAGGAAGCTGAGCATGGTGCTTTAGATATCCCCAACCTCACCGCTTACATCTTAGGTACAATGGCAATGCTCTGTGCACCTGTTAGAGATGAGGAGATACAGAGACTACGAGTCATGGCAGACCCAGTTCATTTGCTCAGGTGGGCACCATTGGCTTGGACAAAGGTAATTTTCTAAAAGTAATATATCCTTTACTGAATTTATCCTAAAGGAAGATGCATCATTTTGCTACCCTGGGAGTACAACATCTGTTATTTGATCTCCTTGGGATTTGATCTTATAAATCAGTTTTATAAATCACCTATCATTTCATAGCTGTGTGTGTGTGTGGTGGAAATAAATAATTTTAAATTCATCATTTGGCTTTCCTTAAGGGGTAAATAAATATTTATATTCAGACCATTGTCTTCATCACTGAAACATGTCATACAGTAGGTTAGGATGTAACCCATAAAGCACAGTTTATTGTAGTATACACAAGCAGCAGCAAGCCAGAGACTCACATATTCCTTACTTCCCTCTCTTCCTTTGGCACAACTGTAACTGTGTTTCTTGTCTTGTCCATGAAAGAAATTTGGTTAGTTTGTTAACAAGCCAGAGTCATAAACCAACCTGATCCTGATTTGTTTGAACAAACTATAGTTTGCCCCAACCAAAACCCCCACTCCTTTCCCCCAGTGTGGATATAAAGAAACTCTAGTTAATTTAACAGAGAAAGTGAAAACCTACAGTCTCCTCATTGTCATGCTTGCTGCTGCTAGTGCACATAGCACTGAATTAGCATTATAACCAAAAAGACAGAGAATCACAGATTACAAAGACCAAAAGGTCATGCCTTTCAAACCTTTACTGCAAGGTAGAACTAAATCTAAATTCTAAGACAAGCTTTTAATATGTAATTGCTCTGTGGCACAGCACTATGTCTCCTTAGCTATTGAGTAATTAAAAAAAAAAAGTCTAATCAAATTTTGCTTTGGTATACCTGGGAATAGCATCTTCCTCTTCCTGAGTTGTGCTTCTGTTTATGCTACACTATTTCTGTGATCACCATAGTAGTCTAAAGAAGCTCATCCATCAGTGGTAACAGGTTTGGTTTTTGCTCTTTAGTATGATTTCCTAGATTGGGTAGTTAAATGTTTACTTTGTCCCTGTTGCCTATGGTAGAGAGATCTTCAGAGTTCTGAACCTAATGAAAATGGATATGGTAAATTTTACCATACAAAGCCTTCGACCCCATCTCCAAGAGCACTCTGTTGAGTATGAAAGGAAAAAATTCCAGGAGCTCCTGAAGAAGCTACCAGGTGTGTATCAAATATGATTGTAAAATAGTCTCTGGTGCAGACTAGAGCAGAGGGTTAACACATGCCACAACCACATCCAAGGCACTTCTTAAACACAGGTACACATAAGCACAAGAGGAAACGTTTAAGTTTTAAAATCCCAGTTTATACCTGAAACTTTTCTGGAAGATAGAACTTTTCCTCTACTTCTGTTACCACATAGATTCTCTGCTGGCCAAATTATGATATGGAGTTTGAGGGGATACTGTACGTTTTAAGGTTTCCCCTCTTCTGAGATGGGTATCCTCCATCAATTTTAATGGTAATTATGACTGGTGTTGCATTGGTATTTTCATTATGTTTTTAATTTTGATTTCATGAACACTGTTTTGAGAAGATTCTCTTTTTTATTTAGCAGTATAAAAAATTATAAAATAAATCATAAAAAACCAGAATTGTCAGAAGTGGGTTGGCAAACTGTTTTAGTGCTAGTTTTGGTTAGTAAAAATGTAGGTAATGTAATGGTAATAGTACCTCTCCCATCACTCGCTTCAGTTTTGGAGAGAAGAGAATATTTATGTGAGAGAAGGTGGAAGGAGAAGCAAGTGAGCCCTGGGGTGCTCCTAATGAAAACAAATGTTATGAATGTCATGAAACCTAGCACAAAGTCATACCTGAAGATTACTATAAGTAAAAGGGACAATATTTGATTAACCACCCCCCTTTTTGCAGTTTTAATTTCCTGTTAGCTTCCATAAATGTGCCCTCATTAAGAACTGTTTTACTCTTAACTTTTCACTAGTTTTTTTTTTTTTTGCACCATGTTATTTAAGAAAAAGGCAAAATGCAATGATTATTTGTTGCCAGTAAGGTGCAAATAAACACAAGAGAAAGGACCAGCCTACACTTCTTGTTTTTTCCTCCAAACCTCCATTTCTCTAATGTTACACTTTAGGTGGCCTTACTTGCACAACTGAGTGGTTGCGCAAGGCAGCAGCTGAAATATCAACCTCTGATCTGCTACCCTCCTCATCCACCTCTGAGACCAAAGGATCATCTGTTCCACCCTCCTCTCCGGCTGCTAGAGAAGTGTTATCTGTCCATAGTCCCACAGCTGTGCTAAACCAAGCATACATGGACTTGCTGCATTGGGAGCCTGGAAGAGAATATCCTGAGGTAAAAGGCACCTTATGAGTCAGAAATAATAGCCATGCTAATTCATTTTCAGAAACAGGGGTCTTAAGATAACACTATAAGGCCACATTGCGGCACACTAGTTGGCTACGAGTTAGGCAGCAAAACACAGAAATGCAATGACCCATTTTCTGTCTGTTCGTTCCCTGCACAACAACCCACAGCCTTCAGTAGCAGGGAATGTACCAGCTTAGCTTGGGCATATTTCCTTTTACTCCAGTAGCATAAGATGCATCTCAAGTGCTAAAGAAATCTGCATAGTAACCCAATGGTTTATACTGTTATTTCTTTGCAGACTATGTTGATGGACAAAGCCCGCTTGGATGCCCTTCAGATGAAAGTGAATCAACTAGCCATTATTGCTGCAGTCCTACTAGTGAGCAGCAGTACATGTGGAAGTGGAGTGTTCAGCTCACCAGGATGTGGAGATAGGCTAAAACGGGTAATAAAAGCCCTTCTGGAAGGACTTCCTAACGCAAGGTAATGTTTTTATATTATTGGTGTTGAAGGCAGGAGAGATACTTACCCAAGCCTCATGTAGGCTGCTTGTGGGCACTTAGAAAATCCAGAGTTAATCTAATGCCTCTTCATGCTATTTATGAACCGGTAGTGAGAACCTGTGTCAGTCCTTTTGATGAAGGTTGTCTCCTATTCTTATTCATGGAGAAAGCACACCCACTTCACTTGAGGCATAAATAAATTGTATGTTGTAACTATAATATAGCAGAGAGAAAAAGGCAGAGGACTGAACAGGAGTTCAGTATAAGCCAAACTAGGGGTACAACTGCTCATATAGCTTCTCTGTCAAGGAGGGGTAAGAGGAGGTTACTTCAAAAATATTGCAGGCTAGTTGTTGCCTACTGCAGGCAAGGTTTGTTTTTTAAGACTTAATTCTATAGGATTACAGCAGGTTAATCACTTCTCTGCTATCATGCATATATAAAGTTCAATTTCAAAGAGCTGTCAGATTAACATGGCCCCATCTCTGTGTGGCTTAGGTTAGAAGATGTTTTAATGGATATCAGCAATCAAATGCATGAGGAAGTTAATAGCATTCTCCTGCAGTTGGGGTATCCTGTTCTCAGCACTGACAAGGCTGCTTCACTTAAAGGCCAACTCATGAGTCTTGCAGAGAAGGACAATGCAGTACGGATTCTAATTGGTGAGTCATGAGTTTTTGCATATTTTTAATGTAATATCACACTTGAGTATGAAAAGGCAGAGTGTGTATTGCATTACCATATTTTAACTGCAATTTTTTGTTATAGTGCATTTCATATATTGTTGTGTTTTACCCTGGAATCATCTGTGACAATATATACATTAGTATCATAATATACTACATGCCTCCACTGCATTCTCATTGTGCCGTCCAGCAGTTATTCTAGGTAGTACAGGGCTTTTACAGTCTGCCCCAAAGAAGGTGAAAAAACCAATGGTAGCTCGCTGTGACTTGTTTGCAAATTATTTTGAGGATAAAATCGCTTGCATCCACTGGGACCTTAACTGTGGCAAATGAAAGTTTTCCAGAGCACTGGCTAGTCTTGTTATGTTGGATGCCTCACTTAAGACTCGAGGATGTGCACAAGGTGCTTGGATCGGTCAGGGTGGCCAGTTGCACTCTGAACCCTTGCCCCTCTTGGCTGATAAAAACTAGCAGGGGGGACAGTTGACTTAGTCTGGGAGGTGATAAATGCCTCCTTGTGAAAGGGGGTGGTCCCTGCCTGCTTGAAGGAAGTAGTGCTACTCCTCAAGAAACCTTCCCCGGATTTGGAAAATCTAATTACTGGCCAATATCCCCTTCTTCAGCAGAGTTTTTGAGTGGGTGGTTGCAGGCCATATCCAGGCACTTTCAGAGGAATCGGATTTTCTAGATCCATTTCAATTGAGGTTTAGGTCCAGTTTTGGCACAGAAACAGCTTTGGTCGCCCTGTATGATGATCTCTGTTAAGTGAAAGACAGGGAAATGTTGCTTATCCTTGAGATGCTATTGACCTTGGTATTATTCTGAAACGGCAGTCTGAGATAGGGGTGGGTGGCACTGCTTTGCTGTGTTTCTGGTCCTACTTGGTTAGTTGTTTCCAGAGGGTAATGCTTGTGGAGTGGTCTTCAGCCCCATGGAGCCTTCACTGTGGGGTTCCTTAGGGTTTGATTATATTCCCCATGCTGTTTAACATTTACATGAAATTGCTGTGTGGGGTCATCTGTAGTTTTAGAGTATGTTGTCAGTAATGTGCTGACAACACACAGCTCTACTTCTCTACATCTGCAGGTGTCACTGTGGATTTCCTGGACTGTTGTCTCAGTAATGGACTGGATGAGAGCCAATAAACTGATGCTCAATCCAGATAAGATTAAGGCACTATTATTGGCTGGTTCCCTAGATTGGTGGCCTGCTTGATGGGGTTACTCTCTCTCTCTGAAGGAGTGGGTTCACAGCTTGGAGGTTCTTCTGGATCCATTGCTGTTGCTTGAGGCTCAGGCGGCCTTGGTGGTGTGAAGTGCCTTCCATCAGCTTTGGCTGGTATCCCAGCTGCTCCCCTATCTGAACACAGATAGCCTCTTTTGTAGTCTGTTGCTCCGGTAACCTCTAGGTTAGATTACTGCAAAGCATTATACATTGGGCTGCCTCTGAAGATGGTTTGGAAACTTCAGCTGTTGCAGAATTCGGTGATCAGGTTGTTCAGCAGGCAGGGCAGTCTGAGCAGTTTAACTCCAATCCTGACCCGACAGCACTGTCTGCAGGGCTGTCTTAAGCATATGCGGCGCCGGGGTGCAAAGATCTGCCCAGCACCCCCTCATTGCCCAGTCCCAGGTGCGCAGGAGGGTGGAGGTGGTCAGCCGCCTCAGCATCTCGCTGGCTCAGTTGCCCCTGAACTCGCGGCGCAGAGCTGCCTGCAGCAGAAGAGCCCGTCGCGGCGCTCCGACCGATGGATGGACTCTTCCCCAGACTCAACTCTCGGCCTGGTGCCCCGCACCCCTAGCGCCTATGGGCAAGACAGCCCTGTCTGCCAATTGGTTTCCAGGTCCAATTCGAAGTGCTGGTTTTGATCTATAAAATCTTAAACGGCTCAGGACCACAATTATCTCAAAGACCCCTCTCCGCAACCTGACCCCTGCAATGATAACCTGAGGCCCTTTTTTGAGTGCCTCCTCCACGAGAGGCCTGGAGGGTGGCAACACAAGAATGGGCCTTTTCTGTGGTGACTCCGTTTGTGGAACACCATTCCTTGGGAGGCTTGCCTGGCATCTTCATTACTTATCTTTAGGCACCAGCTGAAAATGCTTTTTTATAACCAGGCCTTTGGCTGATTGAACATTCTATGGCCTTTTAAATGTGTTTGTGGGAGGGGGTTTAATGGTGTGTTTTTATTCTTATGTATTTTGTGTTCTCATTTTGTATTTTTATGTCGAACAGCCTTGTGATGTTTGATTAAGGGTGGTGTACAAATTTAATAAATAATAATCAAATCACATAGTGGAATTAATGATACACCTCATGTAAAATTGCATACAAGAGGCCATTTACATGCCATTGTGATTAAATGAATACTGCAGTCACAATGAATATCTTAATTGCATATCAACAACATCTGTATAATGATTTTGTACAACACCACCCACTTGTTTCTATGAAAAGTTCTATTCCTGTCCTTTCACCCTTTATTATCCTATCTGCCTTGTGATTTTTCAGCTAACTAGGGAGCCCTAACATGAATAAGTTACAGGAATCAGGTCTTTTTCTAAATCTGTTTTAATTCCTACAGAGCAACGGATCCAAACTTTTCTTAGGCTTTGTTTGTATCCTGGTGGCCAGAACGCTAAGAATCTACCCCAAGGCCTTGCTCCTATTCAAGAAGACTTACTGGAAGTGGGCCAGAGGTTTGGCGGTTTGATTCATCACAACAGACAGGTGTTTGGTCCCTACTACTCAGGGATACTGAAGAAATTGCTGTTTCCAAAGGGAAAATCTGAAGCAGGGACAGATTCCCATTAACAATCTAAAACAAGCAGCACACACAACGGCAGGGAGAAGGGGAGAAAAAACTGGCAATTGTTCAGACTGTGCTTTGGCTCAAAGTCCACTGCAATCAAGTGAGCAGCTGTCCTGCTCTGTGCTGTGATACCTAAAGCACTCATACAGCTGGACTATTGAAGCTGTGGGATACAGTTACATAAATACCAACTGACAATGCCAAGTTTGCCGCAGTAAACCTTTAAACAGCTCAGAATGTTGTCTTGTGTTTTTAGACTAGCTGGTGCATTTTCCATCAAATGGGAAGGGCAAAACTAGGGACCTGATCTTGTAGCCATTAATGTAGAAGGTAATTAATTTCAGTGAAACTAGATATACAAGCATATTCAGGATTAAGCCTTGTTAATAAACAATACAGACCAGTATACCACATCAACCCATACAGAGAGATGTTGTGTCTAATTTTATTAATTTAGTCTGCTCTAAGTCATACAATTATGAAAAACAAACAACAAAACGACTGCTGGAAGCCCAGGAATATTTACAGTCTCGCCTTGTTGTAGTGAGGTCAGTCTATGTTGTTGCACAGATTGGTTATGTTTGGTACCACAAAAAACTGGACAGATTTAACAATTTTTATATACAGAAAATAAAAAGGAAATAGTTCAAGTATCAAAATACAAAGACAGATTAAATAACATTTTTATTACAAATCAGTCCCACTGCCATACATCACAATTAGCAAAGGAGTGTCTACATTGTAAACCAAACTGCCTGTTACCAAGAATCGACCTGCCCTCTTCAGGTGCAAGCATAGCGGAAAGTCCTGCTGCTAGACATTCATACTGATCATGCAAAAGGAGACAATGTAGGAGTGAGGTATCACCCAACTCATTTTAGTTTCACGAGTGTAGAAGTTATTTTAAAAAGTGAGGTACCCTCAGATATCTGGTCTGCAAGTACAGCACAACTCTTAAACTGCTCTAGAATTTCTTTTAATGGGGGGTGGGGCAGAATTGTTATGTACCTCAGAAATCAAATAAGATTTTCATCTCAAGCTAAGAAAGTCAAAAAGGCCAGATCCTATGAGCCAACAATGGCATGTACAAAATAAAAAGATTGCAAGAGTTTGATTTTAATAACGTGATTTCCCATTCAAGAGCTAAGGAGCAGTTCCTTCAGCCACCTTAACATTTATAGTGTTTTCTCCTGGACACCAAAGATAAAAAGAAGTCTACAGAAGACATACATCTTTTTGAAAAGGGAAACATTTGGAGCACTGGGGGGGAAAGCATTGATGATGCCACTTCAGCATAGGTTGGTGCTAGAACAGCAACAGCATTTTCATCAAAGATCTCAAAACGCATTCAGTGCCAGGAATATAGGGCACTTTTCTCAGTGTGCTGCAAAACCCCACAGAGAGGCAAGAGTCTCAAATATTGTACTAGTATTCAAATTGCTCGGAGCCCAGGAATAACTAAAATTCATAGGAAAAGTCCAGACCAGAATGGCTTTGGTTACCTTCTTATAAAGAATGCCTAAGCAGGAGATACTGTCATAGATATTGCTATGTCCATGTAAACTCTGAGAAAGGAAGCACCTGATCACTGGAAGAAGCAAGTTGGAAGCTTTCACTCATTTTGTCACCATGTTCTAAGGCTATCCTCTCTATAGCAAAACAGTTCAGTGTGCATTCTCTCACAACAGTTATAAGTACCTCAGTATTTATAACCATCACCAGCATACCATTCACATATGAATATAAAGGAATGTTAATATTTCCAAAATTCATCCACCAATTATTTCCAAAGCCAGGCCTTTGGGATGATGATTTGGTTTTTTCTCGATACCTTTTCATCTGGAATAAGACTAAATTACATTTTAAAGATACAGAAGTCGAAACAAGCCATTAACAAAATAGCAGGGTACCACAAGCTAACACAGACTTATTTGCACTTCCTCAGATAGGCTATAGAAAGATGTATATGTCACAGCCATAGCCAAAACCAGTGTTCGAGACTGTGATACTCTATGTGAAGCATACAGTCATTCTTGGGTGGAGTAGAACAAGAAACAACTGTTTCAGCATAATGCCCAAAATCTCTCCACATCTTTTTCATATTGTGAAACTGATATACTAAGTATACTTAAATTATGAACTAGTATAAAAAGTGCTAATCAGTGAATTAACTACTTAAAAATCCCAAATCATCAGGGCACAACCACATTTTCAAAAATATGGTACAGGAATGAGATGCATGGAGCTACAGTCCAGTTATTCAATGTATATAAATGTGTGACAAAATTGTACTTAACCAGAAAAGAAATACTGCAATAATAAGAGTTCTTTGCAGTAAAAGCACACTTGTACCAGGCATCAGTTCAGCAATGGTCATGAAGGGTTAAATATTGATAATTTTTATTAAAAACGCCCTGTTTCCCACCTGTTTCACTGCAGCTGTGAAGCGTGTACAGTACCTTCACAGTTGCCAGTACCTTCAAAGTTTAATATTGCAGTGACTTCAGAATCTTTGTCTACTACTTAGCAACCTCAAGTGTATAATGCTTAATATTCTAGCATCCACTCAGCCTATGCTGTAAGACAGGCACATTCACATTTTCTTTTAACAGTTAAGATTCTCCACTTTCATCAACACAACATGTTATGCTGAAATTGTGGATTTCACAATATTGCTGCATGTACACCACTGTTTTAAATCAGAGCATCAGTCTCTTAACCTCAGATGTTTCATTCTCTTGCTAAAAACACATACTGCTTTTTGTCAGCTTGTAGCTGGAATCTCTTTTCACTCAACTCTGGAAGTCCTTAACGAGCAGCCAAGGACATATCCCAGAGCCGGGTGTTGATCTTCATACATCACGGTTTCTCTGCTTCTTAGTGCTCTGCCCCTTTACTACATTTCCATGGAAGAACGCGGATGTCTGCTGTTCAGCTTGGCAGAAGGCAAACAGAATGGGGACAATATTAATGGAAAGAAATATAGGGAACGAGCTATTCATTCATGTAAAACTACTGAGGGAAGCCTTCAGTTACAGTGATGGAGAAGTTAATGGCCACAGCTTTGTGTGTTTTATAGCCATATGGTGGATGCCCTCTGTTCATAACCAACTGCTCTGAAGCTTCTTGGATAGTTTACCATTAAAAGGCACATGTACTATGTTATCTGGTTTTCAGGAGAGAGAAAAATCACCAATAACTCCTGCAGCTCTTACTGACAGAGATTAAAACTATTCATATTAGGGAAATAATTGTTTGCTTTTTGAGAATAAAAGCAAAGCACAGATATATTTATTAACACTCAAATGTGCAGTAGTCTAAAGAGACTAAATTCTTCAACTGCTATAATTGTACCTAGTTACAACTTGGTATAATTTCCTGGACATAATTCCAGGGACAGTGGGCAGATACCTGGCCCTACCTCACCTATCATCAACAACTGTCTCACTGCTGACCCTATTCTCTGAACAGAGAGATAAAAAATTGCTTGAGATCTTTGTCCAATATAGTGACTTCTCTACTCTAACAATATCAGAAATAATCTCTGTAGGCCTTAACCTTATTATCAAAAGCTGGTCCTAATTCAACATTTCTTTGCAATCATTGTTTAATGAGCTACGTAAAGTTTGCCATTTGAAGAATGTAATAAGGCAAATACAACAGCAAATATTTTGATAGTGTCAGTGTGCCTGGAATGCTACATTTAGCAATTTTTAAAGGGATGCTATTTGCATGAAATTTTGACCCCTTTTCTTCTAAAGGGGAACTGTGTTCTGTTACAGCAAAAGCACACCCTTGATTGTCAGTCTTTGTGTACAATTTAGTGACATGTGCCTTTGAAAGTTTCAATTTTAACAAGAGTTTAGGGGGGGAAATCAATTCAAAATTATTATTTATAAGCAGATTGGTTAACCTGAACAGAAAGTGATAATTCCAGGAAACGATTTTAAAAAAAGGCATCGTGTTTAATGAACAGCTGAAAACATCCCTTTTTGGCATTTTCTTAAATATACCAAGCCTAACTCCTAGGAAAAAGGAAAAGCGCTTAATTAGAGCAGACGCACTGTCAAGTAGAACTTTATATTATACCATGCATTCAGATATCCAAGGACAGCAAAGATTGTGAGCAGCATCCATGCTAGGAAATCTGGTGAGCAAGAGATTTGCAAGCAGTATCACAGTGGTTAGTGTCTTCTGAGACGATAAGTAGAAGAGTGCTACTTGTTGGAAACAGTTTTGTGGCCATGACTCAGTATGGAGGTATAAATCTAAATTGAGACAGCATGTACACATGAGACCAAAGTTGTAGAACAGTCCAAGGTTTAGAATGATAAATAGAAAAGGCCTATGGAGTGTTACTTCACCCCACAAATTCACAGTGTCAAAATGAAGAGAAAGTCAAGAAACACTGGGTGTTTTCTGAAATCCACATATTTGACTCCTACAGGCTTCATTTCTCCCACCTCACAGACATCTAAAACAGGTAGCTCTCTCAGTGAGTTACACTTGTTTCCATTAGGAGTATTCACAGCGTTCAGAAGAGATCAGATACAAAATGCTGTTTAGTCTATGGTATCCTAGTGCTGTTGCCTCTGATGGTGCCACACCTAGTGTCAGCAATGGAAGGAAGGAGGGATTTAGAACAGCAGACAGATCAGACTGCAAAGGCACGGTTAGACGGGATGGATGCAGGATTTGTTTTCAGAAGATAGTAGTCTCATACTTAGTGCTGAGGGTCCTCTTGGAATCCTGCTTGGGCTCTACAACCCAGGACACACTAGCATGGGACTGGGAGTCTTGGTCCACTTCAGATGGCTCGAGCTAGAAAACATTAGAAGGAGAGAGCATATCAGCCAAGCTGCTCATTATGAGAATGTGAAGGCAAACCTGTACAAAGACAGCTTTGGGAGGGAGCCGCCTAGGTCAGATTTTTAAAAAAGTATTTAAAGCAGAGGATGTGCACACGTACAGGTATTTACCACCTAAAATGTTACCATAAAGACTTGGACCAGTTTTTCAGATGAAAGAAATACCGTATTTTTGCTCTATAAGACTCACTTTTCCCTCCTAAAAAGTAAGGGGAAATGTGTGTGCGTCTTATGGAGCGAATGCAGGCTGCACAGCTATCACAGAAGCCAGAACAGCAAGAGGGATTGCTGCTTTCACTGTGCAGCCATGCCTCTTGCTGTTCTGGCTTCTGAGATTCAGAATATTTTTTTTCTTGTTTTCCTCCTCCAAAAACTAGGTGTGTCTTGTGGTCTGGTGCATCTTATAGAGCGAAAAATACGGTAGATACAGCTCATTTTGGAAAAAGAACAAATTAAATTTTGTTTAAGCCCAAATCAATTATCAATTCAAGGTAGCAGTTTGTTGAAATTCACTAGAAACAGAATGCTTATTTGGAGTTTAAAGTGTTATATTCAGCTATCTAAGGTTAGGTTTTTATGATCTGATATATTCTCTTAAACAACAGAACTCTTCTCCTTGAATGTTAAATTGATTTTAATATGGTAAAACTCGGCAAATGTTGCACTGAAGAAACATTTTATGCTGGTGAGAAGTGTTACAAGCTTGTCCTTGAAACGCCTCTTGTGTAATGTATAGGAAAGCTTGAATGAATTAACC